TTATGAACTTCTGAGAGGTCTGCTAAATTCACTGAATATCGCTGAACAGTGGAAGGTATATTTCTTCTAAGAGCTTCAAGACAGGAGCACTGTAGAATCTGAATTTATACAGACACTCTGTACAAGGCCTCTGCACCTTTAAAGAGTGCACTTAAATCGTTCAGTGAATAGCAACTCAGTTTGTACCTCAGTACAAACTTGCCAGTTCTTCAGGTCTTGGCCACTAAGTTCAGTACATTGCAGCACAGGATGCACCCCACAGCCACCTGAGGAGGAGATGGAGACCTACTACGTATCTGCATGTCCCTGCATGCCCTCGAGTGGACATCCATAACCTTTCTCGGGAGCACGCAGGCTTTGCACACTGCCCCAGGTCAGCTCTGCTGACATGGCTGAGCAATGATGTAGTCACCAGGCCTGGGTCAGGGACACGATGGGATTTTGTGTGTCCTTAAGTAAATGTGTAACACAAAAGATATTAAGAGATGATGAGAAGAAAAACAGCACTGATGTCCAACAGGCTAAAAACCAAATCTCGCTATCTATAATCTCCTACTGACCTGTCACAGTCAGAAGGTCAAAATACATGCTTGTTTTCTTTGATTTTCATTATCCATACTGAAACACCTACATGACTTTAAATCATTTTGGAGTAAATATTAACAAGGAATAAAACCCATAAAGTTATTTAAAAGACCCTTTGGATTACATGCACTTCTATTTCTTCAATCAGCCTAGGGCCTTGGATCCTTCTTCTCTATGTGGCATACCAACACTTACCTGACAAGGGTGAGCCGTGCTGGGTGCTGCACATTTCCAGGTCCTCAGTAGCTTGGACAATATTTAAATACAAAGTTGTTGAAGATACCTGCAAGGCAATTCCTTTGAAGGAAAGTTCAGTAGTTTTGAAGATTTAGGGATCCTCTTTGGTAAAAAGTTGTTTTTAAAAGTTTGGCAGGAAAATCTAATAGGTCTTTGGGCTGATTCTATCATGTGTCAGAGTGGCAGACCCCACATCTTTACCACAGAATTCCCAAGAATCTCATAAAAAGTGTGAATAATTCCAAAAACTGTAACAGAGGAAAAACAAAGTTCTATGGAAACTATAAAATCTGACAACAAGATGGACATTATACTTCTGTTTCTTACTGCTCAGTATGAGAATAGGCTGACAAGATCCATGAAATGTTACAAGACTCATTTAAAAGGGCATTAGTAATCCTGGGACTACTTGCACAGAGACACAAACTTGACCTATTTATGAACTTCTGAGTGATGTCCTGAGTCATTGAATATCACTGAACAGTAAAATGCATCTTTCATCTAAGAGTTTCAAGACAGCAGCATATTATATTCCCTATTTCTTCAGTATTCAGCACTATTACTAGCTATGTGAATTTACCAAGTGAGTAGTTAAGTTGTAGTTACTTTAAAATGCAATCTAACAAAATCTGCAAAGAATTGAAGATTAAATATTTCTTTCAAGAATTACACCCTTAATTTAATATGGAAGGAAGAATTACACTATGATTGTTTTAGAAAGTACATCTCCCAATATAGCTTAAAAAAGCTTTCTATTTTTCTATAATAGTAGTTGAGGAGGTAGGAAACATAATTTTATAAATTTATTGGATTATTGCAATGAAAATCTTGTCAGTCAGGATCAAAAGGGCAATCCTGCAACCTCCTCCCAGGTGAAAGTCTAATTCTATTTGACCTTTAACTAAAAATAATTTGATTAACAACATATTAAAAAACCCCAAACTATCTGAAAAACAACGTTGATTAGTTGTGAATTTATTTAATGTTCTCTGCTTAAAAACAAATCTCAACCTTCTTTACTATATCCCATTTTTTTGTTGATGCTAATTTATTTGAATTAAATACCAGATGAATTGGTTTATATGATATGTCTATTCAATGTCATTTAAGTTTTAAAATTAGGAAATGAATTGACCTTGAGCAGCATATGTACTCAAAATTTGTAATTAAGAAGAATATTAATAAATTAATTTTATAAAATGAACAGCTGTTCTAGTTGATTGGAAACAGCTAAAAGTATAAAATGTATTTTGTGAATGCAAAATTAAAAGTTAATTTTATTATGGAGTGCAATTTGGCAACTAGAAATAAATTCTTGAGATGTAAGCAATATATTTTTGTAATGCTCTACCTATACATCAGAAAGGTCACATGTATATTTAAATACCATATTACTAAAAAAGTTTAATGATTTCAATTGAAAAGCTATCATATGATTTAGCTATTTACAGATGAGTATCAAACAGCTATGATGCATGCATACTTCCTTTTCCCAATGAACTATTTAAAAGCATTACAAAGAAATAGTTTTACTAAATATCTCTTATATTATAAACTGTTGATTTCACTTACCTAAATAAGTCTCCTAAGTCCCTAATTTTCTGCCTCTTTTTTTTTTTGTGTGTGTTTGTGCGATTCTTAGAGATTAAGGTTTTCATTAGCATTTGATGCTATGGGTTTTCACTTAAATACATCTCTCACTCATGACAGGCTTTTAACTAATTTTGATTGTATGTATTTTAAGCTGTGCACTTTCAAGCTTTAATGCAGTCATTACACATATATACAAGGTGCATAGGCTACAACACAACACCAATGTGGTGGGTTTTTTTTTTGGTGTTTTTGTTTGTTTGTTTGTTTGCTGTTTTGTTTTTTGTTTGTTAGTTTGGTTTTGTGAATCAGATACCACCACCCCTTTGAAATGGTACTGACACTGCTGGGCTACTGTCTTTTGCTTCAAACCCAAATTATTTGCAGGCTCATACTTCAGTGAGTGGCAAAACTTCCAGTATTTCAGTACAAGCTGAGTTTTGTGGAAGGAATAAGAACCCAAAATAGTCTGCTAGACCACACAGCATAGATGCTTGGCAAATTCAGTATGTCTTCAAACTGGAGAAAAATCTTTCCATAAGGGTCCAGCTTAGAAATCACCACATCTGCCATTATCAGGCCAATTTCTGCTAGTTACAGCTGCTCTAAGATGAAGGGGTCTCTCACTCTTAGGCTAAACTTGCCCCAGAAATCATCTAAGGCATTGCTTCAGCTCCCACTAACACTTCCTCTTGGCACTCAGCAAGAAAGGCCATCGCCATGTGGGAATTACTCTATCCTGTAAGAGACCTCTCCTACTCTGGCATACTGCTGTTTCTTCTGTACTGCTACCAACAAAAGCACTTTCCACTACTCTCCATTTTAAGTAGTTTTGATCCACACACAGAATTGAAAGACTATTTAGTGAAACAAACCCTCTTTTAAAGCAATCTGAAAGTCTCTAACTCTACATTCTTTATGTAACTTAATAGCAAAGAAAGCAGCAATCAGATTGCCACTGTGTGCCATGAAACCTTTTAAAAAATAAGAAATACTTGCACAAACACATTTCAAAATTACAGAAACACTGTATTTCCTGAAGAAATATTTCAGTCCTACATCAGTAGTAAACGGGATGCACTTTTGTCTCAAAGATTTTTTACTAAGGACTTCTGGATCAGGTCCATTGTTTATTTCTTGCCTTGCTGTCACTCCATCTGGAACACTAAAGACATCTACTTAATATCCCTCAACCACACACTTTTGACACCTGAATCATTGGCAAAGGAATGATAACTAATGAAGCTAAACATATTCCTCTCAATGTTTTCTAAAACATGACAGTTTATAGAAAAATTTTCAGTAGAAAAGAAGACAGCTGCTTGGTTATTAATTCTGTAAGTCGACCCTAAGAATATGGTGTGGGAAATTAATTCAAAATAATAAATATTAAAAAATTGTTAACAACATGTACCATAGTAACTGTCCATTAACTTCTCATTACTTCAGATACAAGGGTATCTGAAGTAATCTTGGAGGTATTTGACATACATACAAACACATTTGTTTTACATGTCCTGTCATTAGAAACGTTTATCAAGCTGTGTTTTTTCTTGATTCAGAAGTCTATGGCAAAGTGTATCCCTACCAACATAGTTGTGCCAAAGCTTGCTTGACAACTACCACCAGAGGATCTCACCTGAAGCTGAACAGTTCCAGATTAGTCCTGGTGAAGTTTTGAAGGCACTTTTTATTTCACTGTCTCATTAGGTAATCAGAAAATAAAGCTGATGTTGCAAAAATATAAGGAGCAAATAAAGAGTATTCTCAATGTTAGAATGCAAAATTTAGCAAATCACTCATCAGGATGCTCAGTTTGTTTGGCAACATAGATTTCAATTAAAAAAATAAATAGGGATCTTGCTGCAGTAAGATAAGTTATTATTTTAAAAGAAATATGCCTATACTTATGTGATGCCCAGTGAGAGATAAGGAACCTTAAAGGCCGTCACTGTCTATGAGGTACTTCTAAACAGTTTTGTGCCAAGCGTCTTCCCCTTTGCAGGACAGTGACTGCCATTCTGTTGTACTGGCAGTGTAACATGCATCTCAAGCCCTAAATTCTGCAGTTTTACCGGAAGTTAACATTTGGGAGGCATGTTTTAGTTCTGTTGTGCCACAGAGAGCTGAGGCTGGGAGTGGCTGTTTGGGACTGGCCCTGTGGCCTGGACCTCTCTGAGAAGAGGCACCACTAACACTGACTGCTGCCCACTTCTGCACCAATATATATCCCAGTCTGTAGAACTTGACCTGTATGTTCATTCCCAGCACTGGCATCATGCATTTCTCTGTTTTCTCTCCTTCATGTGTAGGAAACAAAATATTGAAAATAACTTAAAAAACCTAAACCCAAACCCAACCCACCAACCAAAGCCAACAGGCACACCCGTCCGAAGCAGCTGCCGGGATTTTAAAGGTGTTTACCATGAGCAGCTCTCAGGTCACCGCGCACTGAGCTCCGCTCGGCCGCCGCCATAGAGCCGGAGCCGGCCCGCCGCCTCAGCGAGAAATGGCGGGAAGGCGGCGGCGCGCGCCGGGCACCGGGAAGGATCAAACGAGAGCGACGCGGCGGGACCGTCCCTGCTGACCCCGGTGTGAACGTGTTTATTTCACGCTGCGGTCGCGGGTCGCTTTACAGAAACATCTCATGCTAGACGCCGCGCGGGGTTGAAGACGGAGGGGAACACGTGTATTCAAACTTAACTATTAAATAACCTGTACACAAAACTTCAGTCTGTTACCCTGAAAGCACGAGGGCCGAGCCCCAGCACGGCCACACCGACGCTGCCACCTCACCCCCAGGTGTCTCTAAGCCTCGACCCCCGCGGCCGGACCGGGCCGGCCCCGCTCGTGCCCCAGCGCCCGGGCCCCCTCCTCAGCCGCGCTCCAGGCCGGGCCGGGCGCCTGTCTCTGAGCGGCCCTGGGGCCCCATGAGCGTCCAGTCCCGGGCCTGAGGGTCCGCGGAGGCAGCCCCCGGCCGGGGTACTGCTCGCCGTGCCCGGCGAGAGTGCGAGCGCCGGTCACCCTCTGCCTGCCGCCACCGCCCTGCCCCGGCGGAGAAACGCCCCCCGCCCGGGTCCAGCCGCGGCTCGGCTCGGCCCGCAGAGGCAGCAGCCGCCGGCTGTCCCGGCGGTCACAGGTCGCGGTTGTCCTCCCGCTTGACGCTGTCCGCCGCCGCCTTCAGCTTCTTGTTCTGATGGGTCTTGACGTGCTTGGCCAGGTGGTCGCTGCGCATGAAGCGCTTCCCGCACTCGGGGCAGACGAAGCGCTTCTCGCCCGTGTGAGTCCGCAGGTGCCGCTGCAGCTCGTCGGAGCGGGTGAAGCTCTTCCCGCAGAAGAGCCAGTTGCAGACGAAGGGCCGCTCGCCTGTGTGCCAGCGCAGGTGCGCCTTCAGGTGCGAGGTCTTGCCGTACACCTTGCCGCAGCCGGGGATGTGGCAGATGTGCTGCTTCTTCTTGCCCGGCTCCGCCTCAGGGGCGCTGCCCGCGGCCGACTGGCAGTTGGGGCAGCGGCAGCGGCGGCACCTCCTGGCCGTGGCCGCCAGGGGAGACTTGGTCTGCAGCAGGGCGGCGATCTGCGTCTGGTACTGGGCGAAGTCCGAGTGCCCCAGCACCAGGCTCCGCGGCAGCGCCGCCGCTGCGGGGAAGCGGTGGCCGCAGCCGCCCGGGGCGCTGGCCTGCTGGATGCTCCACCAGGGGATGTCCTCGGGCGGCGGGTTGGGCGACAGTTGCCGGCAGGGCTGGGCGGGCGGAAGCAGGTTGGAGTACCCGGGCGGCAGGGCGGCCTGGGCGGCGTAGGGGACGTAGGCGGGCGGGCAGCTGGACGGCAGGGCGGCCATGGAGGAGGGCAGCATCTTGACAGGGGAGAACTCGTAGGGATAGGAGGGGTCCGCCGGGGGGGTGAGGGGCAGTTCGTGAGAACCTCCGAAGGAGGGCTGCAGGTGGTTCTTCTGAGGGGTCAACCCCAAGCTGGGATGCGGCGGCGGCAGCCCTCCTGGGGAGTGCGCTGGCATCTCGCCGCTCCACGGGTGGAAGATCCTAGAGGGGGATCCCAGCGTCGGGTCGTAGGAGACCGGCAGGAAATCCGAGGGCGCTGCGCCCGGCTGCCCGATCCGGCTACAAGTAGCGGCCAGAAGAGCCAGGGGCGAGTGCTTGGCCAAGTCTGGGGAGGCGCTGGGGGTGCGGTCCTGCGCAGGAACGGGAGGGAGGGGAGGAGGGAAGAGAGCGCGTTACTCGCCGCCCGCAGATACCGGCCTGCGAGAAACTTCCCGCAACACTGCCCGTGCGCGGCTGGGGCCAGTGCGCCGCTCCCCGCACGGCTGGTGAACTTTCCGAAAGCAATGCGCACCCAGAGGGCAGGACGTGCCCGGCCCCCCCGCCCCGCCCAGACACCGGTTCCGCCTGCGGTCAGTGCCGCCGGCCCCGCCGCCGCTCCTGGGCCGGGGAAGCAGCCGCTGTGGGCAGGGAGGCAGCCCCCGCGCCCCCCACACCTCTTGCCACGGAGCACTGCCTGGAATTAGTAACGGGCTGCTGGCGGGAGAGGGAAGTTACAAGCCCGAGCAGCCCGAGCCCGGCCTCCTACCACCGCGGGGGTCCCCACCTACCTCTCCGGGCCGCCCGCCGGGAAAAGCCCCGGGAGGGAAGCGGCTGACGCCAGCTGCCCCCGCGCAATGCGGGTCACAACCGGCGCAGTTCGAGGAACACCGGGTGCGGGTACTGACCTGAAGGAAAGCTTGGAGGGAGTCGTTCCGGAGGACAGCCACCGCGGCCATGGCTACTGCGCCCGGGGCGAAGGGAAGGCGCCGAGGTACTGCCGAGGCATGAGGACGCCGAGGGGAAGACGAGAAGCTGCCCAGTTTCCTTTCTCTCTCCCCCTCTCTCTCCCTTTCCTTCTGATCTCTTCGCCTCCGTGCGCGTCCCACCCCCCCGCGCTGCGCGATCTCCGCGGACTGTCTGACTGCACCAGGATCACCTCCAAGAATTTGATAAGGACTTTGCCGGGCCGCCAACCAGTCAGAGGGAAGATTTATGGCTTTGAAGTTTGCCGCTACCCAATCATCAAAGAATAGCGGCTCTTTCAGAAGCGAAAGCAAATCCTTTGAATCCACAAAGCTCCTATGGTGTGTTTGTTGGTCTGGATAAAAGAACTGATTATTAGGGGGGATGGGAAGGGAGGAGATAAAGGCGGGACAATTAATGAAGTAATCACTATGTGGGAAATGTATATACACAAATAATTGGATTTTCTTGATCAAAGGACCCCTTACCGCCTAGAGACCCTCGCGTTGGATGTGCAAGACACTGGATCCCTCTTTTTTTTTATTTTTTTTTTTTACATTTTTTTTTTTATTTTGCAATTAAATTTGTGGCAGAGCTCTAAAGTGACAACGCGTCTTTGTTATCGCTCGAGGAATCTGCCTCCGGATTCCTCTGATAGTGTTTAAAGACTGAAGGTAACATAGCACGGCGAGTTCACCTGGTCGGTGCTGGTCGATCTCAGCCGTAAAACTTGCCTGGAGTAATTGTCGGTGGTTCCTCCCCGCTCCCTCCCTCCGCCCGCCCTTCCCCCGAGGCTGAGGGGTATGCCCTCGATATGACTCGGCAAATAACCGCGCATTTTCTCCTCTGGTAGCTGGATTTGTTTCACTTCGCTCAGCCGGCATTGCCCCCTTGTTACCCGGAGCCCCCGCCTGGCGCGGGGCCAGGCCAGGCTCCCAGCCGGGCCCGGGGAGGAGCGGTAGGCTGCCACGAGCAGCAAGCGTTCTCTCAGACAGACACACCGACAAACGGGGCAGCCGGGAAACAGAGAGGAAAAGTTTCCTCTTCCCTGGCGGGAGCCGGCTCTAAGAGACATAATTTTTTTAAATGAAGACCGGAGTCTCTCTTGGCGGGCCTGCCGAGCCGGCCTGTCTTGCGCTGGCGGGGAGCGGACATCGCAGTGGCTCCTCGGGAGCACGAACGCTGCTACCGCGTCTCTGCTTTCCCTGCTCTCACCTCCTGCCCCAAAGACAAAGTCGGCCCCAAGCGCTTTGTTACTTCATCCCGCACCTTTCGGCCTCTGTCTATACATCTCTATACGCATGTGTATATGAAGGATCTAACCTGCCTTGCGTTCGACCATGTGTGAGGCTATTGACCCTCTAACCAGCACCAGGCACATCTGGGTCACAGCTTGCCGTCCCCGTCGGCTGCTGAGCTCAGTGGGCTGCAGAGCTGGCGGGCCCCCTCACATGTGCCGCCCAGCAAGGGGCAGGCGGGGCCCCGCGCCTCTCCGCGGGCCCGCTCAGCTCCGCGCTCCGCCGGGGGCCCTGGAAACGCGCTCCTCTCCTCCCCGCTTCCCCATCTGCTCCGACGCCATCGCAAACGCCGGCCTGTTTGGCCAGGTACCAAACCAGGACGTTCATCTCCGTCTTGAGGAGGTGGGGGCAGATGCCGGCTGGCTCTGGTCCTCCGGAGCTGTTTGCACAGGTAACTCGATCCTCCCCGCAGTCGCTGGGTTCAATTGTATTCGCACCGCCACTGAAGTCCCTTTAAACGCCAGCACACAGAGATCTTTATCTGCCTTTCCTGTGGAAACAATCACTGTCCGCTCAAAGACTTTCAAGAGTTGTAGGGCTTGAATTAGATCGGTTTCTTTGAAGGGATTAAAGTGCCAAGTCCTCTCCCACGGCTCCATATTGAATCCTGGGGAGAAAAAGCTCGACCCCATGTAACACTACGCAGCAGTCGTACCAAGCTCTTCCCGTGTGCCAGGTACCTGCTTACCAGGCCGGCCACAGGAAGACAAGGGTCCCGCATCCAGCGCTTTTACCACGCACTGATGCATCGAGGCAAGGTTCGCCGCTGCTGCAGGACCCCGCGGCCCGACAGCAGCTCCCGCCAGGGTGTGAGGTTGCGGGCGATAGAGCTCCCCGTCCGCCTGCACGGGTGCGGGGCTCACGGGGTTCGGCACTTCCATCCACCAGACACGAACACCTCCCAGTACCGCCGATGAGCGATCCGCCGGGGGCTGCGCCACGTCAACACGGGACATGGCGGCTACCGGGGAACGGCAGCGAGCCCCGGCCGGCAGCGCGGCCGGGAGGACACGCACACAGGCGCAGCCCCGCGCAGCCCCGTCCGCAGCCGTCGGGTGACCCCCGCTCACTGCCAAGCTCCAGCCGCGCCACTACAGCCGCATCGCGGCAGGAGCGCACTTCTTGTCCCCTCGAGTCTAAGCTGTAGCTGGGGCAGCCCGAGCCGAGGGAGAACCCCACGTGGGGAGCCCGACCCGCACCTCTGCTTCCCGGAGGAGCAATAACTCGCTAGACAAACGAAACGGCGGCGCTCGCGCTTGCGTTGTCCCTAAACCTCTGTATCCCCAAACTTATGTCAAGTCCAGACATATGAGAGATACCCGATTTAACCCCTACCTAGATTTTTAAAAATTCGTTTTACCTAGTAATTACCAGATGAATACTCAGAACAATGTTTCTAAAGGAAATGAGAGGGGATAGGTAGATCAGGAGACACTGATACCCCAAGGTTCCCTCCATTCTCTAAAGTACGCTATTTCCCCAGGTATCTCGACGAATCAAAATGTTTTGTCAAGTTGCAAAAGAGTTAGTGGAAAACTGGATAAGTTTCTATACAGCTGCCACACTACAAATGCTATAAATCTGCATCCAAGAAAGTACATTACCTAAAAATCGAGAATAAATTCTCATTTCTGGAAGAAACCAATGGGCTGAAAAATGAAACGTTGCAGTCATAATTTTCTGTACAAATAATTAGTGTTCAAACTCGGAGCATTTCAGTCTCCTGAAATGTATTCTTAATGAAGTGATGTTCAGAGCTGTCATTAAAAATGCAGGGCTGGAAGATCAAAGTACAATATTTATTTTAGAAATTTGTTTCAGTTATCAGGAGATACAGGTATCAAGGCCGAGTGTCAATTCAGTTACACAAAGCACGATTTCCATGAGAAATGGGCTGCCGCTACGTTCTAGCGTAAAGCAAAGGGACACCAGAGATGAGTCGCAGCGCGGGGGGAGGCGCGGCGCCGGGGGGTTGGGAGCTGCTCCCGGTGGCGCAGCCGGGCCAGGGGCCGCCTGGACAGTGGCGCTGAAAACACAGCCCTGCGTGGAGCTTTGGCCCGCAGACCAAGGGGCCGGTCCCGACCGGCGGGGCTGTAGGGGCCGGAGCAGCTCTCGGGCCCACCAGGGAGGCAGCGGCAGCGCCGTCGACGCCGTAGGGAGCACGGCGGCCCGGAATGCAAAGAGCCGGAGCCTGAATTGCTCTAGCCGCAGGGCTGAGGCGCAAGGGGCTCCCAGAGCCCCGCTGCCTCCATGGGACCCTGCCTGCTACAGCGGGCAGCGAGACCCCTAACGCCCCCGGGGTCAGAGGGGCTCCGGCTGCACTGCGCTGGATGGCTACTGTCGATTTAAACACAGTAGATGTAAATCACGAGTCACCATCACTGCTAGGAGTCTTAAAAATCAGGATTTTTCAGATTCAGGTATCCCAGAGTGGCTGTACCACCATGAAGGGCTCTGTGGACCTTGGTGTGAATGCAGGTAGCATACTTGGAGTAACAGCTGATTGCTTGCCAGTGGTACCCTGCATGGTTTCTGCTGTGCCTCTGACTTCAGGACCCCAAGTACCTCATCCTGGAGCCTACCCCAAAGCCTGTCCCAGTGACGGCTCACACATGGCCGTCAGCCAGTTCGGCCACGGACGGTTCCTCTCATGACATTCACAGTCCCTGCAAAGTAATTTGCAGTCACCTGCCATGACCTGCCCCCCAGTCCCTCCTGTGGTCACTCAGGTTCCTCATCTCTTCCAGGACAGTCATGAACAACCCTGGAAGCCTGGATGGGCTCTGGCCACCTGCCTGTCCACAGCTTGGGGTTCCTGGGTTGCTTTCCTTTCCACGAAATAGGAATTGTGACAAAGAATCAGAGACAGGATCATTTTAAAGTGAACAGCTGCATTAACATTCAGCCAAGCCTCCTAGTCAAGTTGTCCATAAGAGGTGGCAAAATTTAAACCTGAAAAAGCTTTAATAAGCTTGCTCCAGAAGGCAGTGTCTTTGCACCACCCCTCATTTTTTTTTCTGGTTTAAAGATGTACTTAACAGACACCACCCATCCACAACAGCAAGAAGTTTCACCAGAAGGTAAATTACCCTAGGTGTACAGCTTCAAGCATCTGTGGATACACTGCCAACAGTTCTGAGTTATATGCCATTCATACTATTTTTTTACTTCAGCATATTCACATTTTTGCAGTACACAAGATGACTGGCATAAGAAGAGGAATAACCAGTTCACACAGTGTAATTTGGACATCAGTAGATGAAAATAAAAAACATTACAAACTGCTATAGTATCTCTTGCTTCTTTTCTGTGCTTGAGGGAAAACCACAAAATCCTAGACAAGATTGGCACATGTTAAGGCATATTTAGGATTTAAAGGCTTGCCTCAACATTTCTCACTGTGTGGATTTGACAAAGATTAATAGAGGATTTCCCAAACTTTTGAAAGCTGAGCTGCTCTTTATGAGAAGTAGAACAAATTGTATGCCTCACAAACCTGTTGTCAAAGTTTTAAATATCGTAATGTATTCATCTTCTGCTCCATCCTTGGCCGGTCCTTTGTGACTCTTCCTCCTGTCTTGGGGAACACTGGTGAACATTTTTGGATCTACCTACTTCCCTTGCTTCCATATTTTAAAAAAGAATCAGTCTCTTAATAATAACAATATTGAAAGTGTTATTCTTGGCTCTACTTGGAATGCATGGGACACTTTTAGTTCAAGATGATAATTTCAAATTCTCTGGAAATGCTTTCTGCCTCTGGCATACATGGCTGCATTTTCGTCACAGCTCTAACAGCTAGAAATGGACTTCTACAAAATAGAAAGCAAGCCAAGACTCTGGTGAGCAGCTGAAAAGGATCTGCTGTGTGCATCCTGCTTGTTATCTCCTTTGGGGAAAACACTAGGTAAAAAAAGCCTTTGTATTTTTGATGGGATGCATTTGTTTGGGGAAGACTGGATGGGAACTTATAATTTTATGACTACAGATACATATAGCTATTATTTTTTTTTACATTGCAATTAGTATAGAATGAAAAGGTAATTAAATTGTTATTTGCTTCCTCAACTACAGAAAGTTTATTATCTAAAAATTTGGTCTCATGATAAGTAATTTTAGTTACTTAGTATATTTATTGACAAATTAAACAGCTGTCTGTGTCTATACTGTGTTAGAACTGGAAACATCACAAGTTTATCCAGAAAGATCATTGTTTAATATACACATAAATACTGGATAATCACATGGTTGCCACATTGCTATTGATTCGGCTGAGTGGATTAATCCAACACTGTAAAAATACACCTGTTATTTAATGAACTCAGCATTACTTAACAGCATTAATTAAATGTTGTAATTTTAGAACCTTTTGGTAGAGAACAGTAAGTATGTTATAATGGCAGTATTTTTCAATATTTCAAGAAGCACTTTTGAAATAACCCACTCTTCAAGGACTACTGAACAAAAATGTATAAAAATGTCCATAATCTTTACCATAAAAGGCAAGTGCTTTATATAAACTCTTCAACAACTCCACTTTAGCTGGGGAAAAAAAACAGAGAGATGAAGAAAAAGCCTAATAGTTGCATTGTGAGGGTCAAAACAGGGACACAGATATGGTATATGACTGGCATTAAAGGTGTCTCCAGAAAGAGATACTGTCTTTACACTATGGCAGAGAGTCTGAAGACCCTCTCTGTATAATGCCTTCAAGGTAGGTTTTTCCAGTTGTACATACATATTAGTGAAAGGCAGCTTATAAAATATGACATAGGTGAGTAACCCCCAACAGGGGGAGAGTTTTTGAACAGGACCTAGAAAAACTAGATTTCTAAATTGAGGTGTTTGTTTTTTTAAAATGCCAATCTTCTTGACTGCCACCAGAAGTTCAGGAACCTGTGAAAGATTGGGGAAAACTTAAATTGCAATTCTGAAATGACTTAACTCTCCCTACCTGAACTTTGCTCTCATAGACTGGCAGAAAAGTCTTTTCAGGAAAGCAGTGTACAGTGTGTTTCTGTGTCATTTCAGAAACTGATGCCTTAAGTGGTACAGAATAATACATAAATAGTTAAATGCATAAATTACATGAACTACCCAAATATAAATTTCCCTCCCTCCAATTCTGAAAAATAAAATACCATCAATAAAATTATTTAAAGTGTATTTCAAATACACAATATTTTTTAATTATGCTTTCCATCTTCACATAACTATAAAAAGGTGAAGTCATTCTAACTACACTCATATGCCCCTACAGCCCCGCCGGTCGGGACCGGCCCCTTGGTCTGCGGGCCAAAGCTCCACGCAGGGCTGTGTTTTCAGCACCACTGTCCGAGTCAACTAACCCCCCTTCTTTGCAAGGGGAACGACCCTTGCCATACACACAACTGCTCCAGGCTTGAAAAGAGAAGCTCCTTGCCTCAGATCAGCACATAGATTATGAGGCTGCTCCTCACCAAACGCTTAAACAACTTGCCCCAGCTCAGTTGAAACCTCAGGAGTACTGGCTGAGGCATGTACCTTCTGCTGGCTGGCTAGCCATGCCAATCAAAGCAAACAACTCTAATCTGGGAATAAATCACATTTCAGTTCAGTCTCCAATCAGCTCCTATTGCTCAGGGACAAACAACTTGACCAGCTGTTTGAGAACCCAGGACGAGATGAGGAGAAAGGATATTCACCTCAAAGATGAGTGTGTCAGCATAGCCATAACTCACGAACCAGTCTAATGAACAGTAGAATTTTTCTCACACTTCTGGAACCTCTGAGACAGAGGGAGAGAAAAGATAAGATCTTCAAATGGTTACTTTTTTTTGCTTTTCTCCCTCAGTAAATCTCACATTCCTATTTTCCTACTACATGAGGAAAACTCTCATATTCTACTAGCATTGAGCTGAGAGAATCACATATTACATATGAAAGAAAGAAGAGTACATGGCAAAACACAGATACTGCAACAAAGTGGAAGTGTATTAGTCTAAATTACCTAATTCTTATGCCTGGAAATAAGAACGAGACTATGATGCTGCAGTGCTGTCACTCCAATGCCCAAATGATATAGAAATCTGCAACTGAAAACCACTGACTGCTTCTTAGGAGGTCACACTAAACCACAAAGAACTATTTTCCAAATTTTTTGTCTTAAAAAGAAGCTTGGAGAAAAATCCAAATGCCAAGTCATGCAATTTAATCTGTAATCAGACTAACTTTATAAAATGCTGCCAGTCTTATCAATGCACAGGAGTATGGGGCGGAAAAATAATACTCTGTCAAGATTCTTACAGAAGGCAGTGGAGTAGATGCCCAGAAAAACTGAATTAGGCTCATGATTTACTACTTTTTTCTACTTCCATTGCTACACATGCTAAGTGTACTTGGCACACGGAATGATGCAAAAAGAAGCTGCTCTGTAGTGCCAATGATTCTCTTTAATGAGATACAGTTATCAGTTGATTTATGAATTTCTGCTGCCTGTTCTCATTAAGGGTAAGATAATTTGCATTCTAGAAGTAACACTGCTTACAAGAGAACACAGTAATCAAAATCCCTCTAAATCAAGTTTTAGAAACATACACAGTAAGGCTAGAGGTAGTTCTAGTAATGTGCATAACTTTATCCATTAAACTCTATTGCAAAGACTCAAGAGAAGGTGTTGCATCTCCAGTTTTATCTAGCTTTCCAAATTAGTATAGCATTCATCTCAGGAATTTAATATGGGACGGGACAAAATGAACTTTCTGCTTGAGCCTTCTGATACCCTAGTGACCTCCTCCTCCTGGGAGATCTATGCTGTTAATTTAGATACCATATGCCTCACTGGTCATCAGTTCAACTGATGCTCTCCGTGTTGCAGCTTTCACAGGATCTTGATCACACTGCCTATAAAATTTCCTCTACCCACTGTTGCCTACCAGTCAGACAAACTCCAGCTGATCGGTATTTTCTTATAAATACTTAGAAATAGCACAGTCTAGTCAACTTTGTTCTTTCTTTTGGTATATGCTTGTCCACTATTATTTAGATACTATTTGCAGTGCTCCAAAGTAAAACATCAACAACTGGAAGACAGCAGAGGAGGAATGTAGGAAAAACAGAACTACACAGACTCTGAACTAACACTGGTCAGATGTCTGAATGTAAGCCAGCATTCTGGGAGGGGTCAGAAGCAAAAGCCTAACTGTCTAGGTGGAGAGAAAAGGGAAAAGGTAACCCTCCAAGCAGACAGCACATCAGTGCTGAGACTGACTACAGAAGCTAAGAATGAGCATGGAATTACACATGTTAATGCTGGCGACACTGATTATGAGAATACCAAGATGAATGGAGCAGCTCAGCCTGAGCAATTGATTGAAG